GGCACTGTTTGAGGGCACAGTCCCTTGACATGGACTGGCTGATTCGGCAACTTTGCGTGTCGAATGCCAGGCTTTGAGCTCACCTACTCTAACAAGCAGAAGTATCGTGCCCTGTCCGCAGCGTCTCCCCCGCACGCGCACAGAGCTTTTTTCTGGGTCGAATTGGACCCAAGGTGGGGTTAAATGTGGATGTGTGTCCATTTTTTTTGGGGGGGGCCCAACGGAAGGATTTTTTGTTTGGGTTTCAATCCCAACCCAAAATGGGCACCAGCGCAAAAAAGAAGACAGAGCTCACTTTGTCACGAGGCGTGCATGGCTTCGACTTCCGAGAGGCGAGACGAGACAGCTGAAGACGATTCGCTGGATGGGTGGGTAGGTGGGTGGCTGGTTGGTCATGCTTGTCACACTCTGGTTGATTCACCAGTGTGATTTCGGCCGAGTTGAGGGGGTCGGTGGCGAGCACAAATGTCAGTGGGCACACTCGGTGAGGGGTGCTATTGATCTCTGGATGTTTTAGTGACCCTAAACACCCATAAGCCCAGCTTAAACCCACCCTATAATGCACCCGGGGTAAACAAACACCACTGTGGGACAAGAATCCCAGACAAGGCAAATCGGCCCAAAGAAATCGTTGAGGCGCGAATCCACGCAAGGAGCACAGCCATTGCCAACAATTATTGATTGGGCCCAAGGCTTTTCTCCAAATTTCCCTTGTTGGAACCTCCAAAAGTGGCAGTTTTACTGGAGACCACCGGTAAGTTGATCAATGTTTGAAGGGCCAAACCTTGGAAGTGAAAGAGCGGCTTTGCAGCTGAATGGGGCCACCTCGAGTAAAAACTATGCTCCAGGAGCGAAATGGTTTTCCCATGCAGCAAGTGGGCGTGTCTCATAAATCAGGACCCATTTGGTTTTGAAGGGACGTCAATAGAAAGCCAACCACGTGGAGGAGGGGTTCCTAATTTTGAGAAGGGGCAATCGCTGCAGGGGCCGCTGCGCTTGAAGGGCGCCCGGGCCGCCTTGGTACAGCGCTCAAAAACATTTGACATGGATCAGAAGCATCATGGTCAGAGTTCCTTGCTTTCGGAAATAAGGCGAGAGGGGTGTGTCCTTTTGAGGGCACCCCCTTTGTGGTTTTAAAGGGAAACCAAAAGGACATCCCCGGGGGGGAGTCCCCCAAGAACAACACACCCATAATCATAAGGCTCATTGAATCTTCTTAGAGGGTGGCAACAGTTCGGCTAGGTTCGGTTGTTTCGGCTATGTGCCGGTTCGGTTGGGTGAATGACTGGCTAGCCGCTTCGTAGGGTTCGTTATCCACATTCGGCAGGTGTTTGGCTCCACATGTTGCCACTGCTTGATTGCGGGTATCGCAAGCGGCACCAGTTCTCCGAAGCGCTTCGAGGCAAACCAAGTGACGAAGGCCGACATCCAAAGGCAGGATGGACCAAGAGCTCGGATCGAAATGTGGTAGATGTGTGTTATAGACATTGTGGCTTGGATGTCTCACATTTGTTCATGGTGTGTGTGTGTGTAGAAAGCAAGGTATGTTGCGTGCTTTGCTGGCTTGAATTGTGCGCCATTTCACGCACAAGTCGTCCAAACTGAAACAGTTGATACGTTTGACGCATCTGAGAGAAATCATGGTGCAATCTAGCCACCGATTTACCCGCGCGACCCAGCTGCTTACAGGTTCGTGGACTCTGTTCCTCGAGTCAAGGGCAAGTTTGAGCATGAGCTGCAGTTTTCCTTCATCCAGGACTGTGTCTGGGTGCATTGCACAGTGTTACTTTGCCAGGAGCAAAATGCAATGCAGAACCAAGCTTCCAGCACGGTCCCGTACGGCGTCTAGGGCACTTGGTTCCCGGTGGGATGATCCTGTGGCACTGAGCATGCAGGAGAATGTGGCATTGGTGCCCGAGGATGATATTTTTGCAGGGAACAACCAGGCAGAGCCAAACGGAACGGAATGATGCCTTGCATGACTCCGAGAGAGAACAGCAAAGACTCAAAGATGTTCTCTTGAGATTGGCAAGAGAAATGACTTGTTTGGCTTGGCTGCCCAGGCTGACATCAGAATTAGCTTTACACCTTTCCTCCATCAACTCACGAATGGTCCGAATGGTCATGTCCAAATGCTCTGGGCTGCAATATGCGTCAAAATTGAGGGACCCAACAAATTGTGGGGTCCCGTTTGGTTCCCGTTTTAACCAAGCTGAAACGAGGTTTTGTCAAGCACACACGCACGCACGCGCAAGCACATACACACACACACACACACTGGGAGAGCCTTGTTTGCTGCAGTGCTCATGACTGCGCAAAAGCATGAGCTCAAAAAGCTCAGACTCCTCGAAAAGTGCAGGGGTTGCGGCTGAGCCTGTTGCGGGCTCACGGGCCGAAAAAAATGCACCCCGCGGTGCTGCTGTGGCATTCGAGCGTCGAGCTCTAAATCAAACCAAACCAAATCAGGTCAAGTAAGAAAGGTCAAGTCAAAGCAAATCAGGTCATACCAGGTCAGTGTCAGGCAGATCAATTTCCATGCGCGTAATCGTATAAAGTGGCAAATCAAGGAGAATGTTGCTGTTTTCGCCAGACTTCGTCTGGGCTCACGACTGCTCCGCGAACAGTGCGCGGTCGTATAATTCCACGCTGGGAGAGCTCCTCGTAGCGGTCCTTTTTGTCGTCTTGGCTGCAGTGTCATCAAGCCGGGTATCGAAACAAGTGCAGGTACGTGTGGATGCCTCTGTCCCCTGCCCCCTGCACGCTCACTGTCACCAGCGAAAATATGACGCTGGCCTTTGTTATCAGGCTTTCCCCCCACACACACACACACACGCCCACCCACCCACCCACCCACCCACTCACGCGCACAGAGCCCCACCCAGGCACACACGCGCGCACACGCACACACACACACGCACACCCACACACACACACACACACACACACACACACACACACACACACACACCGAGCGCGCGCGCGCAGAGGCACGCACGCGAGCGCGCGCTCACGCACGCACGCACAAACCCCACCCAGGCACACACACACACACACACACACACACCCACGCACGCACGCACGCACGCATGCACGCACGCACGCACGCACCCCCCCACACACACACACACACACACACACACACACACACACACACACACACACACACACACACACACACACACACACACACACACACACACCCGCGCGTGCGCGCGCGCACGCACGCACGCACGCACGTAGCATGCACGCACGCACCCCCGCCCAGGCACACACGCGCGCGCACGCACGCACGAACACACGCGCACGCACGCGCGCGCGCACACACACACACACACGGTTTTGGAGCGCCTTACGCGGCGCAGATCTTCGCAGAGATGCGCTGTCGCCTGCGGAGGCGACGGGCGAGGGAGTTTGCCTGTGAGTGCAGGAAAGCTTGTTTTCGTTGTTTTTGGTTTGCTTGTTTGCGCATGTTTGTGTGTGTAGATGTTGTTTCACCTGACTCGCCGAAATCCGATATTTGGGTGTTTGAGCGTCATTTAGTTTTATTCAAGCTGCTGTCCTGTTTGTGTGCGTCGCATATACCATGTGAGTTTCGTTTTTTGCTCCTCAGTGGAAGCTTGCAGACGGGTTCACGGCGTATGTTTGCGAATGCTGACACTGCAGTTGGTTTGACGGGAAATTTTGACAATGGTGCCAACGAGCGTTGAGGCGTATGCCAAAAGGTTGAGGGGAACCCAAAACCAGAATCCCAAACGCGGATTTCGGCGCGAACGGGGCGCCAACCCTTTCTCACCACATGCCCTCTCGTAGACCGCCAACTCATCCTTTGCAGCGGCAGCTTCGCTTCCACTGGCTCTTGCGCAGCTTGCGCTGCGCTCAACAACGCAGCCCAGTGCTTGGCGTCGAGAATGCTCGTCAGCGAACAAGACCTGCAGACAACAGCAGCAGCAACAACAACAAAAAGACGAACAATGCAAACGCCCTATAAAGTAAAGGCCGCAAAAAAGGCTAAAAGTGCGGACGCGGAAGCAACATGCCCAAATGGAAGCGGTTCTCGAACGTCAACACTTCGCGAAAGCTAGCCGTTCTTTTCGCGGCAGGGGGGGTTTGTTTTTTAGAACGCTTTGTGTTGATTGCAGGACTAGCGAGGGGTCCCAAAAGCTGAAGTCTTCAGAGGCTCTCTCTACGGAAGCTGTGCCAGGCACATCCAGGCCTCCGCCGAGCGCTTTGGTGTGAAGGGCTTGGAAGACGGCATGCCAGGATGTGCCACGGGCAGCTGATCGCAGTGTGACGTGTTTTTTTTGTTTTTCTAAAGCAAGAATCAGACTTGACTGCTGGGTTGGATCTTTAGACTTTAATCTTTTTTGGGAAACCAAGGGGTTTTCCACAGCAATCTAGCAGAGTGCTTCAGAATCGAGTGCTTGGCACTGGATGTCGGAGAGTGTTGACCTGAAAAGCCTGCGATCAGAGAAAGAGTGCGCCGGGTAGCATTCTGACGGGTGGGGTATCGTGTCATCACAGCAGGCAGCCAAGAGTCGGGCGATTCTTGCTGCAGCCTGTGCCGGGGCTTTGGGGTAAGTGCTTGTAGCGCAAGATAGCTTACAGATCTTGGTGGCTCCCAGCCATCCCCCTAGCTTTGTCTTCAGTTTTTTTAACTGGGGGGGGTTTCCATTGGACCCACGAAAGGTTACACTTTTAGCAGTGGATCTGAAGACAGAGAAGTAACGATTCTCGAAGCGAAGCTCAAAGAGAGTGCGGAATGCGTTCAGCTTTGCGTTTTGAGAGAAAAGAGGCGCTGCCCAGCCCGTTTCGGTATCGCAGGCGTACGCTGAAGGGGGGCTGTTGTTGAGGGCGAAACAACAAAAACTGGCGGCATGCACTGCAGGAGGTTGTGTTTAATTCATGCTAGGCTTGTTTGTGTGAAGGGCAAACTGCTTTACTTCAGCAGTCAATGGTGACTCATCAAGTTTCCGGCCTCGCTTTAGAGATGCCCTGCGCAGGTGAAGGGGCAGTTGGAGTCGCAGCAAAAGAGTCCCGGCAAGCAGGGCCTTTTTTGCGTTTTGTTTCATAAGTAGCTGAGATGCAATTCGACACAGGGGGCACCATCCTCTTAGCAATGCTGTCTAGAGGGTTTTTAGTCCCGGCTCCTTTTGTGCGTCACGAACCGAGGATCGAGACTTGGCGAAACGAAAAGGCAACCCCGCGTGGACGGGTGCGTAGCTCAGGAGTTGGCTTGCAGTTTGCATAGGTCTCGTGATTGAGTGCTGGTATTTGTGAAAGCTTTTGAGGTGCTAGAGATTCTGTTCGCCCAAATAGTTGCTCAAGGATGTAGAGGCGCTAGAGGCGCTTTGCCATGGCAAAGCCGGCGGGAACGGAATCGCATTCCGATCCATTCCGAATGTCCTGGGGCACCATGGATATGATGAGCGATGGGCCAGCAGCTGCAATGGTGAAAGGCTGGCCGCGATGGGCGATCCCTGGCTTTCTGGATGAGGTGCCCCCGCGTTTGGAGGGCTGCCGGCAGCGCTTGCTGGCTGCCGAGATCGAGCTGAGACGGGCAGAGAAAGCAGGTGGCCTGGACATTGGGAGTTCTGCACCGCAGACCGAGTCGGATGCCGCCGTGCTGCAAGATTTGCCGCCCTTGTCTGGCCCGGACGAAGCAGCCCCCGATGAGTTTGCAGACCTGCCCCGCGAGGGTGAGATACTCCTGGAGCAGGTGAGCCGGGTGGATGAAGGTTAGTAAGGGACGATCCCAACCATAAATAGCTGCGGCCGCCTTCTTAATCCTGTACATGGTTCGGGGATTACGACCATTTTGGTACCGATCGGTTTTGATTGCGACTGAGGTGGCCGAGGTGGAAAACGAGCTTGCGTCCATGAGTGGACAGCTGAAAGAGCTGGACGAGACGCATCGAGCGGCCAGAAGTGCCAGGAACGCCCACTGCGCCAAGCTCAAGGCATCCAAGGACCAGCAGGCGCTTCTCCAAGACCGGGTGGCCGCTTGGGCTGAGCAGCTGAAGATCTCCCAGAACCACAACCGGGCGCTGCAGAGCAGGTGTGTGTGTGTGTGTGTGTGCTTGTTTGTTTGTTTGTTTTTTGAGGTGGTCTTTTTTCGGATACCCTTTTTGGGGTTGCTTTTTTAAAGGGAACCCCACAGGATACGTAGATTTCAAATTGTTGTTGGTTCCATTTCCCCACTTTGTCACAGGCATAGGCGTCCTTTTGATCGGCTTGCCTCGAAATCGATGGGTTCCACTGGTTTCAATATGGCTGTGGGTCGAAAATAGGCATCCAAAATGGAACCCTGGCAAATGGAGCCAAAGACTAAAACCTGCGGTCCAATTCCTGGTGATGTAATTTTGACCCACGTATGAGCCACAATCAAAACCCGGGTAGATGCGGGTTAGTAAGGGACGATCCCAAGCAGAAGTAGCTGCGGATATCCGCCTTCTTAATCCTGTACATGCTTCTGAGTAAAAACCCATTTCAGTACCGATCGGTTGTGATTGCGACTATGGGTTTATGCCAAAAGGCTTGAGCTGTCGCAGGTGCCTGGCTTTCAAGAGCCACACCCAGAAGCTGCGACAGCAGCTGGCGGAGCGCACCCGCGAGGCGGCGAAGTGGCGCTCCGAGAGCTCGAGGCTGAGCCAAGAAGTGGCGGCGGCGGAGGCTGGGGCGCAGGACCTGAAAAGTCAGCTGGAGAGCTCTGAAAAGGACGGGGGCTGCCTGGATTTTCCGGATTTCCCGTCACAAAGTTAGCTAGTTGCCTGGTGGTTGCCTTTTGAAGCCGCTTCTCTTGGAAGTTCCAAGAAGGGAAATGGACCCTGAGAGGAGCAACAGACTTTCAGGTCTCGAATTGCCGAGTTGAACCAGGCCATCGAGACGGTAAGGGAGGATGCTAGCTACCGCATAGACGAATTGGAGGAGGCGTTGCGGGAAGAAGAGGAGCGCGGAGAGGAAAGCCGCAAAACAATTGAAGAAGCAGGCCAGGAGAAGCAGAAACTGCTAGCAGCACTAGATGAGCAAAAGGAGTGCGCGCAGGCTCAGATGCGAATTGTGGAAGAAGTGCGCCAAGATTTGAGATTGAAAGAGGAACGTGGAACGGAGCTGGAGAAACGAGTTGAAGAGAGAGACCAGAAGCTGAAAGACTTGACTGCCGAAAGAAGCGAAGAGGTTCAGAAGCTACGTGAGGAGATGAAGCAGCAGTTGGAGGAGAAGGAGAAGCAACTGGAGGAACTGCGGCTGCAGCTGACGCAGAAGGAACAGGCAGCAAGTCCAGCAGAAGCAGAATCGCAGCCTGCACCAACCCCGGTTGGAAGCGAAGAGGTGCAGAAGTTGTGTGAGGAGATGAAGCAGCAGTTGGAGGAGAAGGAGAAGCAACTGGAGGAACTGCGGGTGCAGCTGACGCAGAAGGAGCGGGCAGCAAGTCCAGCAGAAGCAGAATCGCAGCCTGCACCAAGCTTGGGAGGAAGCGAAGAGGTGCAGAAGCTACGTGAGGAGATGAAGCAGCAGTTGGAGGAGAAGGAGAAGCAACTGGAGGAACTGCGGCTGCAGCTGACGCAGAAGGAACAGGCAGCAAGTCCAGCAGAAGCAGAATCGCAGCCTGCGGCAACCTCGGGTGGAAGCGAGGAGGTGCAGAAGCTGCGTGAGGAGATGAAGCAGCAGTTGGAGGAAAAGGAGAAGCAACTGGAGGAACTGCGGCTGCAGCTGACGCAGAAGGAACAGACAGCGAGTCCAGCAGAAGCAGAATCGCAGCCTGCACCAAGCTTGGGAGGAAGCGAAGAGGTGCAGAAGTTGCGCGAGGAGATGAAGCAGCAGCTGGCGGAGAAGGACAAGCAACTGGAAGAACTGCGGCTGCAGCTGACGCAGAAGGAACAGGCAGCAAGTGCAGCAGAAGCAGAATCGCAGCCTGCACCAACCCCGGCTGGAAGCGAAGAGGCGCAGAAGCGATGCGATGAGATGCAGCAGCAGTTGGAGGAGAAGGAGAAGCAGCTGGAGGAACTGCGGCTGCAGCTGACGCAGAAGGAACAGGCAGCAAGTCCAGCAGAAGCAGAATCGCAGCCTGCGGCAACCTCGGGTGGAAGCGAGGAGGTGCAGAAGCTGCGTGAGGAGATGAAGCAGCAGTTGGAGGAAAAGGAGAAGCAACTGGAGGAACTGCGGCTGCAGCTGACGCAGAAGGAACAGACAGCAAGTCCAGCAGAAGCAGAATCGCAGCCTGCACCAAGCTTGGGAGGAAGCGAAGAGGTGCAGAAGTTGCGTGAGGAGACGAAGCAGCAGTTGGAGGAGAAGGAGAAGCAACTGGAGGAACTGCGGCTGCAGCTGACCCAGAAGGAACAGACAGCGAGTCCAGCAGAAGCAGAATCGCAGCCTGCACCAACCTCGGGTGGAAGCGAAGAGGTGCAGAAGCTGCGTGAGGAGACGAAGCAGCAGTTGGAGGAGAAGGAGAAGCAACTGGAGGAACTGCGGCTGCAGCTGACGCAGAAGGAACAGGCAGCAAGTCCAGCAGAAGCAGAATCGCAGCCTGCGCCAACCTCGGGTGGAAGCGAAGAGGTGCAGAAGTTGCGTGAGGAGATGAAGCAGCAGTTGGAGGAAAAGGAGAAGCAACTGGAGGAACTGCGGCTGCAGCTGACGCAGAAGGAACAGACAGCAAGTCCAGCAGAAGCAGAATCGCAGCCTGCACCAACCCCGGGGGGAAGCGAAGAGGTGCAGAAGTTACGTGAGGAGATGAAGCAGCAGTTGGAAGAGAAGGAGAAGCAACTGGAGGAACTACGGCTGCAGCTGACGCAGAAGCAGCAGCCTGCACCAACAGCAGCAAGCGATGAGGTGCAAAAGCTACACGAGGCGCAGCCGGATGAGAAGGCTGCAGCAGTAGCAAGATTGGCTGTGAATAGCTGGGTCCAAATTGGCCAGGCGCGATCAGGCGATTCTCATAAGCACGCTCATCCCGAACAGGACTTGCAAGCCTCGGCCGAGGCTTCGAAGGCAGAGCGTATGGAGTGGGGACGCCAGTGGGATGCAGCTGCCGAGGGCACTCAGAAGGTTCCCCCGGTGGTGATGGCCGGAGAAGGTAAGCTCTCGCTGACGCGCTTGGGCCTGGTCAGCGAGGCCTTGCTCTTGCAGCCCTTGCTTCCAGCAGGACCCCTGCAAGAATTGAGGCTGGGCTCCGTGAAGTCTATCAACATGCAAGCTGATGACAGCGCTTTCCTGGTCCTCGACTTGGAGGAGAGCGGAAAGTCCAGGAAGCTTCAGCTGCGCAGCGACGGAGACGGCACAGAAGCCCTCCTCGCTGCACTGACGCGTGATACCAGAGTTATGCCAGGGGGGGACCTATAGCGCTTGCCCGTTTCAGGATCACGCATTTGCGAAGCAGATGTGTGGAAGCTAATGTATCTCGCGGGTTGTCAAAGGCATCCCAGAGCTCTGTGCAGTGCTGCCAGAAAAGCTGTTGGACAGGCTACACGTGATGCACATGAGCTCACATGGGTGTGGGTCAAAATTAAACCAACAGGGGACCGCAGGTTTTAGTCCATGTTTCCATTTGCCGGGGTTCCATTTTGGGTACCTTTTTTTAACCCACAGCAACATGCATGTTGCGGCGAAAAGAGAGAACCTCCAGTACCCCCAAAACTGTTCCACGCATCGCCCAGCAGCCTTCTGGTGGACTCTCTGGCTACGGCTCCGGCTCCTTGTCTGGCTACGCACGGGCTCCCAGAGCAAAGCAGAGTTTCTTGACACATTTGCCTGACATGTTGGTTGGTACCTCGGTTAGTGTGTCAGGGAGTGTGTTAGTCTAGTGTGTGTTTGTGCTTAGTTCTGTGAGTGTTTGACGGGTGATAACTATGCGCGTGTGAGTTCGGGTGACTCTTTGTTGTGTAAGTATGAATGTGTGAAAGTGTGTGTGTGTGTGTGTGTGTGTGTGTGTGTGTGTGTGTGTGTGTGTGTGTGTGTGTGTGTGTGTGTGTGTGTGTGTGTGTGTGTGTGTGTGTGT